TGGCGCTAATGGAATTGGACAGGAATCTGGCCGTATCTTGCGTCCAGTCAGGGACCCAAGAGGGTAGTAATAGCTTCTCGTTGTACGGCTCCGACTGGGACAGATATCGTGGACGGGCTGGCCGGTCGGTAAGAACGTCCAATCTCGCAGTTGACGCGAGGAAGGCTTTGGCAACACTAGCGCATATCTGCCGCATGTCCAGATCATAGCGAGGTTTAATTTTCAATGTACTATGCTCATGGCTCCAAAGAGCCCAAGCAAAGCAAAGATTCTGTCTCGGGGGTCTGTCGCTTCAGAATTCAATGCCATGGCCAGCAGATTTGGGTGTTGGCGACGCCCCAGTTTTGAGGTTTCCAAGTTCCTTTACAGAAAGAGGAAGGGAAAGCACTGTTCTACTTTTCCTAAAAGTTCGAAATTCAGTTGAGTGCTGGGCCGTAGTTCCCCATTTCCATGTTTTGCGGCCCGCCTGGCTTGTCGGACGAGCACATCGAGTATGGTCTCTAGATGCTGCCATTCCACAGCTCTCGAGTCACAAAGTAACACGACTTCTTTGGCCAACAAAAATTCTTGGAGGGCCGATACTCTTTGCCACCGTGGACGTTGCAGGAGTTTGATCAGGGCCTCTGTTAGTGTCAACTTTGCGGCTGATGCAGCATAAGGTGGAATGTCATGCAACATGTTTTCCAGCCGTTCACAGGGGTTTTCACAGCAGGCTCAATAGTCCATGGGAACGAATGGGAATGAAAGAGCGCCCAACATTGAATTTTCCTTGAGTTTCGGGAATAGGCGGAAGTTTTGGAAGGAGTTAAATACAATAGCACTTGTGTTGGACTCTTCGCCGAGCCATACAAGGACCCGAGTTGCATTTTGGTATATCAGGCTCATCTGAGAAACTTGGCTGTTCCTCTCATGAATGTTTGCCTGGTTGATACAAACAGCATCGACCCACAAGGCTCTAATCGAATTCACAAGCCTCAAACTACTCAGTGCAGCTGCAAGATGCCTTGTAACTTTAAATAACCTGCTATTAAGTATGATATCTCTTGTGGGGTTAAAGAGCCCCAGACATAAGACAGCGCTTCATAAGGCAATTCTTAATCCGGGTCAACTTCTTGAAGAGCGCACTTTGTGGGGGAAGAAGCATCGGCGTCTGGAAGTAAATGCAACAGGCGAATGTGATGGCTCTTTGCCAATTGGGAGTATACGCCACTTGCACTGTTAAGTGTTCTAGCATCCTCAACCTCGCTGTACAGATGCAAGTCATGCCTTGTACAGATGACGCTCCATTTTCGCGGTAGTTTGCGGAATTCAGCAGCGAGTCTTAAACGCCGTATTTCTGCGGGTGGCTGTGTTGACTCCAGCATATGGATGAACAGTTGGTGTATGATTTTGGAAAAGACCACCGCCTCGTAGATAGTAGTCACTGCATCGCACTCGTCTATGACGACCCGAAGTCTTAAGACGAGATGAGGCAGGGGCTTAACGCTGTACCGACTTCCTGCATCGTGCAGAAAATGCCTGTGTTGTCACAAATCGCTGACCAATTGTGAGAAAAGTCTGTCAGGTATATCAAGGGGAATTTCATTCAATAGTTAGCTAGACAAGAAGTTATAGCGCTTTAGCCCAAGCACATTCAGATGGTGCTGAGTGCGACCAACCAACTTGGCCATGACGGATAGGAATCTAGTTCTGTGGACTTTCCGCGCCCAATTCGTTTACGCAGGACATTCAATGTTCTTACGAGGCCTAGAACTCGGCGACTCGTCCACATCGCCGACCTCAAAAGGCCACATTTTGTCGTTTCGCGCCACATGCACCGTTAAGTCCCACCAGACCAGTCTACATGTATCTCGGCAAGGCTCTTCCGAGCGCACCAGTCATCATCCTCACCAGTACATACTCAGCCACCAGCATGAACCTAGTTGCCGTTGAACACCTTTGCTCGGCTTCACAACATACCCCCTTTCGGCATGGCTCTTTCGTATATCTTCTCTGCCGTGAACTCTGTTATAAGTATTCCACCCCGCACGCCATTGCTGGCCATCATGTTCGATGCTTTCGTGAAAGTTTCAGGAAAGGCACATCGATAGCTGCGCACTATACTTGTTACTATTACATGTTGCTTCCCACAAGACGCACTCATCATCTTTGCTCTTTCTTCATCAGCGAATATCTCTAAAGAGAGTCGTCACATATTATACTCTCGCGGCAGCCATGTCGACTGCGCCACTACCAGACCACTGTATGTCACATATTTCCCACATGATCCATCCCATATTGAACGACGCATCCAAGATGCGGTGCTAGAAGTCCCCGAGGGGGCTCCGATGCAAGAAATACGCGACGCCTACATGCGGCAAGCCTCTCCCCCGTCAAATCCTAAACCGCGGCCGAAAAGTATGTCCACTAACAATCCCCCTCCCAGCGCTGCATTGGCAAGCCACCCCGACGGAATTCCGCTCGACTCCTCGGAGCACGAGCGCGACGCGCGCATCCGCAGATACCATCTCATAAACGACGCATACTATAACCTCTCCGATGCCACCCGCCGCACGCACTACGACGCCCAGCGCAGGCCCTCCGCTCCGCCAACCCAAGAAGCGGATCCATTTGAAGAGGCTGAGGAGATCTCACGGCAGCCCGGGGTTACTGGGGAGGCCAATGGTGACGACGATCAGCAGCTTAGGGAAGATGCCCAGTTCAAAGATGTATTTGAGGGGGAGATGCGGGAGAATGATATGGCAGAAGATGGGACGAATATGCCGAAAACAGCGTTTTGGAGCTTGATTGGGGGTGTGACGGGTGGTACGCTGGCATTTATTATCACGGGTCCGCCCGGGATTCCTGCGGGTATAGTGATTGGGAGCACAGCTGGGAAAATAAGGGATGCAAGGGGGAAGAGTGTGTATGAGGTGTATAATGTGAGTGCATCGTGGCCCGGTGTAATTGATGTGACATGTGCTAACGAGTGGTGCTGGTCTAGTTGCTGGACCATGAAGGCAGGGAGGATATGCTTCACGAGCTGCAAAGGAAATTATTTAGCCCTTTTGCTGGAGAGTGAGTGCCGGCATACAGACGGTATGGTCGGTGACACGGAAGACATTGACGAGTCTTCCCAATCTCTGCGGGCGGGCGAAATCTTTCTACCCCGAATGTGTTTCCCAATGTGGTAATTTCCTACGACCAGTGACGTAACTTTACATGGGGATCCCCGGCTGTCTCCAACCTCCCGTCCCCTCATGTCGAGTCCAGATGTCCCTTTTCTGCCCCAACTTTGTACCCACCAAGTCGCCAACTCGACCTGCCGTACCAAACACCTGTTGCCATCGAGGATCCATGTCAAAGACTAGCTCCTAGCATTGAGTATCAAAGGTCATCACCACTGGGGCACCCGGTATAAAAATCGAGTCAAGCTCACACCACCGTGTCCCATCCCAGAACCGGATTCATATTATCCTCTCTACTCACAATGACGTCCAAGTTGGCTCAAAAATACGAAATCAATGCCGACATAGGCGAAGGATTCGGCCGATGGAAGATGGTAAGCGCCGCAGTCGCACCCCCGCATCATCTCTCGAGTCTCTCACCAACACAAACGCCCAGGGCCCAGACGAGGAGCTCATACCCTTTCTCGACGCCGCAAACATTGCGTGCGGATTCCACGCCGGCGACCCCTCCATCATGCTCAAGACGGTCCGCCTCTGCAAGCAGCACAATGTCAGAGTAGGCGCGCACCCCGGGCTGCAGGACCTCTTCGGCTTCGGCCGCAGAAAGATCGAAACCGACCCCGGCGACATGTACGCCATGGTTCTCTACCAGGTCGGCGCCCTCAAGGCCATGCTGGATGCCGAGGGCGTCCCGCTGTCCCACATCAAGCCACACGGCGAACTGTTCTTTTACATGCAGCGAGACCGGGGCATCATGAAGGCCGTCCTGGAAGCCTGCGCCCCGTTCAACGTCCCCGTCTACGCGTGCCAAAACCCAGAACAGGAGGCCATGTGCGCCGAGATGGGGATCCTCTTCCAGGGCGAATTGTACGTCGACATTGACTATTCGCCCGAGGGAAAGCTCGTCCCCGTGTCGCAGTCGAATCCTGTCACGCCGGAATTGTGTCAAGAGCGTGTCCTCGCTGCCATGACGATGGATATTGGACGAGATATTAACTGGACGCCGTTTGTGTTTGGGTTTGACGGCAAGCCCTTTAGCATTTGTCTTCACTCGGATGCGCCGACGGTTTTGCAAAACGTCAAGTTGGTGCGTAGGGCGGTGGATCAAGTCAACAAGGAAAAGTTTTTGAAAAGAGAAAATTAACGTTGTTATCGGTTATGCTGTATTGCGTGGTGAATTACGGTTAGCTTACCTAGGTACGGGTAGAATATCGTGTTCTTACATGGCTTATATGATTATCTGGCCTTTTTTTACTCAACTTGATGCATGGTATCGGAATTTCTTAATTAATTATGTTAGGGAGATACCGATGTAAGCATTATATTAGGCAAGGCCCAGCGATCGCATTTACGTTTCGACCAAGTGGATTGGCGATGCGGTCAGTACGGTTCCGGGCATACTTGCTGGAAACCAAACCAAGTTCCTCCCTTGGGATATTACTTCTCGTATTTAAAAGGTCGCAGGTAATTGATTGATATCTCTACCTCCTCGCTGTTAGGCTGACATATAATTTTTAAAACTAGGATATCGATATGTCTAGTTGTAATTACTATAGTTACTACAACATGGATCGTTGATAAAGTTGTTGGGGCCCTGCCTCGATACCAACCGGACATAATAGGTATCCTTTGAGTATCCATTATACAAATGAACTAGTATATAATAGTAATAAATCCCTCTCTTAATTAGTACTCGGTAGCGAAGAGAAAACGAAAAGAAAAGTATCAAGTTTAAAAAGTATTCCACTCCATTATAACCAAGCGCAATCCACATATGAAAGGACCGAGGTTATTCGGTAAGCATTGAGGCCATCAATGTATTTTGTCAACCCCCTAAACAGCAGCGCCAACAGCCTTGCAGAGGCTACCCGTCGAAACATTCACGTCGCCGCCAACCGTAATATCGCAGAGAGTGTCAGTCGTGCTTTTCGCCATGGTCCCAGCAGCATTACCAACAGCATCTGCGGCGCCCTTGACCATGTTCCCGGCCGTACCAGCGGCATTACCAACAGCATCAGCCGCGCCCTTGGCCATGTTTCCTGCTGTCCCGGCAGCTTGACTAACGGCCTCTACCGACCCCTTTACCATGTTCCCGGCTGCGCTCTGCGCAGCTTTGCAAAGATCGCCCGTCGAAACATTAACGTCGCCGCCAACGGTGATGTCGCAGAGAGTGTCGGTGGTGCCCTTCATAACAGACCCGGCAGCATTGCTCACGGTGTCTACCGAGCCCTTGACCATGTTCCCGGCCGCGCCGACGGCTTCGCCTGCCATGTCTGCCGTGCCCTTTGCCATGCTCTTTGCTGCCTCGACGGTACCGTCGGCGAGTTGTGCCGTGCCCTTGGCAACGTTTTGGGCAGCGTCGCCAACTGCATTCATCGTGTCCTTTGCAGCGCTTCCGACAGCAGCACACATGGGACCTGTCGACGTCTGTACAACGCCTCCAACCGAGATGTCGCAGAGGGTGTCGGTCATGCCTTTGGTAACGGTCCCGGCCGCATTGCCGACAGCTTCTACCGAGCCTTTGGCAGCACCCTGGACACCCTTGGCTGCCCCGGCCATACTGCCCATCAAGCTGAAGGGCCTGGCAAGACCAAGGGCAGCAAAGGGCAGCCCGATGATGACTGGACGCATTTTGATGGTTTGTGTATTTGAATGAAATTTGGGTATAATAGTACTGACGCCTGGCATTCTGGGCTGGTCATGGTTGATCTTTAAATCGGCCAGACGAGCATAGTCGTTGGGCTGGGCGATTGCGCGTGCTCCGTCAGGGGGGTTACCCGTCTTGAGCTTAGCATGAGTCTGCAAATTGTCGTACCTGACTAGTTATTCTGTTCCGGATTTAGGTGAGTGAAGACGGCTATCGCATAATGGTGTCTAACAATGGGCAAATTTGTACTCCATCATATACGAGGCTGCGCACGGGCTGATGCGGTGATGCCCACTTATAGACTCGAGCAACCGCTTGAGTTTTGACGTTGCCAAGATGATAATTTTCGTTATCTTCTCCCTTTAAATCCCCGTGCCCCATACAATGTGGTCCAATGCAACACTCCAGGTGCATGGTCTCCAAATGCTTTCTTGGATTTTCTTCAATCATGATATCTGCTTCCAATCACAACAGTCGCGCCGAAAAAGTTAATGAGGCAGGAAATTCTTCCCAGCTCGTCTCTGTCTGGTGCCTTTTGTTTATCCCAAACCATCATTCAATATTCAAACGTGTCCAAGCGCAGGCTTCTACGTCCATCAACCAGAAGCTTACGTGGATCAATTCAATATTGTATCAAAGGCCAAGCCGCCTGGCCACATGGACCTACAACTGAAGCAACTAATTGCCCGTGCATTCGTATCCCTTGGGGCCTGGTGCGTCGTACGTTGACCCTCTGTTTATCCACAGGACGGGATTATGTAACTCGGCGTATCGCTTAACTAATAATGACATCGGCCCCCCGCAAGATCCTCAGTACGTAAAGAGATTAAGCTGATGGGCAGCCTCCGGAACCATATATACGTAAGACTATGAGATGAATCCGTCATGATACGAATATCAACAGCGTAATCTCTATTATTTTCAAGTGTATATCTATGAATTAAAGTGTCCGGCTACTTGTCTCAGACGAGTAGTAGTTTTCAGTATATTAATAGCATCAAGATATATTGCCCTCTATTCACCTGATCTGCGAGATTTATGTCAATGTTGCATTGAGAATATCTGGTGACTAGTTTCTTAATGAAGAGGGAAATCCTCAGGCTTGCTCTTGCTTCTATCAATCCATACTTTAGATGCAAGGGGCACTATAACGCTCGTAGTGCCGGTCCGTAATAGACTCCGTTGCTACATGTAACTTGCTTTTGTGTTCACATAATTACCTCCTACTTAAAACAATCAATGCTCTTAATACTGTTACATGTGATTGTTTCATTATTAGACGCCTCGGAATTGGCCCCATATCATGATAACAGCATTTACCACAAGTTAAGTGTTCAGTCCAGAGGGTTTTGAAAAATCCTTCAGGGTAGATGGAGCATGACGCATTGTCTCGGACATGGATGCAAACTCCTGCGGGTGTTTATACAGTCTCTAAAAACGCCGTATCAAACACCAACAGACCAGACATGACATGTTTGATAGGATGGCTGTAGATGAGGAACAAATGCGGCCGAGAACGTTAACTGCGGGGATACCACTCCCTACCCGGAACCATGCCTCGCAATCACTCCATCACGAGGATAGCTCCGGTCCACCGACGGGTTACACCAAATCGTCATCAAGGTCGTAGGAAGTGGTCGACTTTCTACCCCACGCCGATATTACCGCATCGAGCAACCCCGCCATCTTGAAGACGGCATAAACACAAACTACCCCAATCTCCACTCCATTTTCCCATCGTCCGGACTCCTCTTCGATATTATCACGGCCAAGTACATCGCTTGATATCCCCCCAAGACGGGCCATGGGGTCGACTGGCCCCTTCACATCAGAGCACTCACTTGGCTATATCAATCACTAATCCCCGTTTTGATGCGTCAATTGCTATTCTACTCAGTCTTCCTCGCCCTATATTCTCCACCACCATGGGAAGCATCAAAGTCACTTCGCTGCGCAACATCCGCAAAGTCTTAATCGCCAACAGGGGCGAGATTGCCGTCCGATGCATCAAGGCCTGTAGAGAAGTACAAGTCCACAGCGTCGCTATATTCACACATGCCGACGCGACCTCGCTGCATGTCACGCTGGCAGACGAGGCAGTGCTGCTACCAGGAGACGACGGCACTGCCTATACAGACGGGTAAGCTCTCCGATTTCCCCTCGTCACGACAACTTTGTTAACGCCGACTAGTGAGGCCATTCTGGACATTTGTAAAAAAACGGACGCCGATGCCGTTTTCCCCGGGTACGGCTTCTTGAGCGAAAATGCCGAATTCGCCCGTGCCGTTTCTTCAGCCGGCATCATCTTTGTCGGGCCCTCCTCAGCGTCCATCAAGGCCATGGGCCTCAAGCACGAAGCCAGAGCCATTGCCGAGGCTGCCAATGTCCCCGTTGTCCCGGGCACCCAGCTCCTGTCGTCTGCCGCAGAGGTCGTCAAGGCCGCAAGGGACCTGGGGTTCCCGGTGATGCTCAAGGCAACCGGTGGAGGCGGCGGCATGGGACTGCAGGCCTGCGATACCGAGATCGAGGTTGAAAAGGCCTTTGCCACGGTTCAGAGCCGCGCGAGCACCCTCTTCAAAAACAGCGGCGTCTTCTTGGAAAAGTACTACCCGCGGTCGCGCCACATCGAGGTCCAGGTAGCGGGCAACGGCGAGATCGTCATCGCATTCGGAGAGCGCGAGTGCTCGCTGCAGCGGCGGCATCAAAAGGTGATTGAGGAGTGCCCTAGTCCCTTTGTCGAGCGGCACTCCGGCCTCCGCGAGAGGATGCTGCAGGCGGCCATCAACTATGCCGCGCGGCTCAAGTACAAAAGCGTAGGCACGGTCGAGTTTCTCGTCGATGACGAGACCGCCGACTTCTTCTTCCTCGAGATGAATACGAGGCTGCAGGTCGAGCACGGCATCACCGAGTTGTGCTATGGAGTCGATCTTGTCCATTTGATGCTGCTGCAAGCCGACTACGAGCGTGGAGGTCATGTGGGAATACCCTCGGACATTCTCAGGGGTCTTCAGAGACACTCGCCGCGGGGATCGGCGATTGAGGCCCGAGTCTATGCCGAGGTGCCGCTGCGCGAGTTTGCTCCGAGCCCTGGCATTTTGCAGCTCGTCCACTGGCCACAGGGTGATGGCGTGCGAGTCGACACCTGGGTGAGAAGCGGCCAGCGCATCACGCCTCTTTACGACCCGTTGATTGGAAAGATAATGGTTCACAACCCTGACGGCCGAGGCGCTGCTCAGTCGAAAATGCTCGCGGCACTCCGCGATACCACTCTCCAGGGAACCCAATCCAACTTGGAATATCTGATCAGTATTGTCGCCTCAAACATCTTTATCAACGGGCGTACATTGACAAATTCTCTATCAATGTTCAAATTTAAAAGCTGCTCCCTCCAGGTCTTGGATCCTGGCGTCATGACAACCATTCAAGACTACCCGGGTCGCACCGCCGTGGGACACGGAGTGCCTCCGGGCGGTCCTATGGACGACCTCAGTGCTCGTGTAGCAAACAGCCTTGTTGGAAACGATTGGGGGGTTGAGCTTTTGGAAATTACTCTAGCCGGACCAGAGTTGCTATTTCATGAGGCGGCTGTCGTTGCAATTTGTGGCGCCGAGCTGCCAGTGACTGTCGACGGTACGCCTCAGCCCATGTGGTCCAGGGTCATTGTCAGCAAGGACCAGATACTAAAGCTGGGCAAGGTTTCTGGAAGCGGCACTAGAACCTACCTTGCTGTCAAAGGCGGGTTCCCCCAGATACCCAAGTTTCTTGGCTCCAAATCCACCGCCCCTGAGCTGGGCTTTGGTGGTCTGCAGGGACGGAAACTACAGGCCCATGATATTCTCGCTCTCGCCGAGGAGTCTGGGATTTGGGCCGCTGCTGCTGCCCCATTGTCATTGCCGGCAAAGGCAGTACCAGATTTTAGTATTACGAGTGTGGGCTGCCTCGACGGGCCATTTGGCTCCGACGATATCCTTACCCCTGAAGGGCGCAAGACCTTATACGAGGCCCAATGGGCAGTCAGCCACAACAGCGGCCGAAGTGGTGTGCGTTTGGAAGGGCCACGGTTGAAATGGGCCCGGACCTCGGGCGGCGGCGGCGGATCTCATCCGTCCAACGTCCTTGATTACGGGTATCCCAACGGTGGAGTCAACTTCACGGGGGAATCGCCCATCATCTTTGCGCATGACCGGCCGGATCTGGGTGGATTTGCCTGCCCGACGACACTGTGTTCCGCCGAGATGTGGAAAGTCGGCCAACTCAAGGCCGGCAACACTATACAGCTTCGGTCCGTGTCGTATGACACCGCTCTGGAGATTACGCGGAAGAAGGAAGAGTACCTCGGAGCAATCATCCTGTACGCACAAGGGTCTGCCTGTCAGATACCCCCACTGGACGTCGAGTTGAGCGATGAGCCTCCGTGTTCTATTCTCCATCAAACACCACCTTTGGGGAGCCATCCTCGGGTTACATATCGCCAGGGCGGTGACACCAGCATCATTGTCGAATATGGCCATCAACTACCGGACCTTCGGAACACAGCGTGCGTCCAACTCCTTGCAAACGGACTGTTGGCCGCAAACCTGGACGGCGTCCGGGGCGATCCCAACTTCGCCACTCTGACCGTACGGTTCGACCCGCTGCTCACGGAGCGATCTAAGCTTCTTGCACATCTCATCCATCTCGACGGCCAGATTGGAGAGACCACAGGAATCAAGATAGCAGCTCGACAAGTACGACTCCCCGTCTGCCTCGACCACACATCGCTCCGAGAGTCTGCGCAGCGATATATGGAGAATATCAGACCCTCGGCGGCTTACATGCCAGACAATGTAGAATACCTCCGCAAGAATAATGCTCTCAACGATAGACGCGATGTGTTTGACGCCATCCTCAAGGCTCCGTGGCTCACCGTGGCCGTGGGCTTCTACGTAGGAACACCAGTCATGTTCCCTCTCGATCCGTGGCGTGTGCTCACGGGCCAAAAATA